GAAAGTCGGCCGATGACGTAGCGAATTTTTATCGACTAAGGTAGTTGGGATATACGTTACGCATACTCAAGGTCGAGAAGTCTTTCTCCAGGCAACAGATCCACACCACCATTACTTACATCCATCAGAGCTGTTTCCAGAATGTCATCGATGGCAAAGTTGAAGAGGAATGGTGAGATTGGGCAACCCTGCCTAACCCCACTACTCGAATGGAACAATGGAGAGAGGTGGTTGTATGCCCTCACTCTGCCTGAGGTGTTTTTATATAGGGCTTTTAGGATGTTAATAAACTTCTCAGGCACACCCTTCTTCAATAGACAATCCCAGAGAACAGTCCTGTCCAACGAATCGAAGGCAGCCATGATGTCAAGAAACACTACGATCGTTGGCCTTTGATAAGTATGGCGGTGTTCTAACATTTGGCGAAGGGTGAAGATATGATCAATACATCCTCGACCAGAACGAAACCCAGCCTGCTCCTCGCGAGTCAATCTTTCTCGGTTTTGAACAACCTACGAAGTATGACGGAAGCCAATAGCTTGGACGCAATCGTAAGTAGACTTATCCCCCGATAGTTGTTACAGGAACGACGTGAACCCTTTTTAAAGATAGGGACAACTATCGACTCATTCCATGACGTTGGTACACTCTCTAGTTCCCAAACCTTGGTAAACAACGTCATCAGTTCCTTAGTCAAAAAGTCACCACCATCTTTGAAGAGGGTCGGAGGTAAGTCATCTGGGCCAGGTGATTTGTAACGCTTCAAGAGTTGGAGTTCCTTGAGGACTTCCTCCTCATTTGGTGGATCAGTCGTCACCTGCCATGGAGGGCAGGACAGTCCGACCGATGTTGCCGGAGCAGCAGGCCAGTTGAACTGCCCTTCGAAAAATTCTGCCCATCGTCCAAGACGTCGATGGATGTTAGTGATTGGCATCCCATCATCCTCACAGATTGTTTCACTCACACCATACTTCTTGCTGCCAGTGGCTCGGATGAGCTGGAAGAGCTTCCGGTAGTTACCAGATGCAGCTGCTGCTTCCAGCTCATTAGCACGCTCCAACCACCAGGCTTCTCAGTTCTTACGCAAGGTTTGCCCGATTTCATCACGTAACATCCTTCGTTTGTGGTCAAACACACAGTCACCCGGAGTAGACGGACGGGCTTCAATGAGTTGTAAGGAACCAGAAGAAACCCAGTGCTTAAAAGCGGGACGTTTCGCAAACCCACAACTGACTGTAGCCGCCATTTTCACGGCGTCATGCAATTGCAACCAATGCTCATCTATACTTTCCGGTGGAGTAGTAGCTAGCCTAGAAGCTAGCTCGGTTCGATACTTACTTGCAACAGAAGTTGCAACCAACTTGCTAACATCAATCTTTTGGTGGTGGTCACTTCGTTGTCGGCTGAAAAGTAAGGTAAGATTGGGCAGAGCAGGGCATGATCAGAGTTCAGATAGGTACTCCAAAAGGAGCGGCAGTCTTGTACACAACCACGCCAGCGGTAGCTGATCGCGATGTGATCAATCTGAGTCCAGGCTTGGGATACAGAGGGAGGACGCCAGGTGACACATCGGCGATGACTGTGCCGAAAGTTAGTGCTAGCCAGAAACAGGTTGTGGTCTGTGCATAGTTGCAGTAGATGGTCCCCGCTCTGTCCTGCGACCAACGAGTCCCCATCGGTCACCTAAACGAATCTCTTCTGTGCCTAGACGCCCGACCTGAGCATTCAAGTCTCCGGCTAGTACTACAATATCTGTCGAACGCACTTTCTGGAGAAGAACAGACAACTGGTGGTAAAACTCATCCTTGATTGCATCCGGGTCCTGGGTAAAGTCTGATTGTAATCAAAAATGCTTCGAACATCCTATTAGATATTAGTTCACATTTCAATATCATTATGATCAAATGATAATGACTAATAATTATTAAAAGATATCTATACTATAATTTTACGTTAATGAATACTAAGAGAGAATCTATACATATATCTGTTCTAAATGTAGTTGCACTATCACTACTACTTACAAAATTCATCATGTTATTACCAGTATTAAAATAAAAAAGAGTCATATTCCACATATTTTATAATAAACTTCTTTCACTAACGATCAATTTAACTAATAATCACACATAACAATACTAATTAGCTAAACTGTAAAAAGGGTATGATATCACTATTATTACTACTATTATTATTAATGGTATCAATTAATGAGAAATATGCAACATGAATTATCAAATGATGGTCGTTTATTTATTTTTTTACATCTACATATAAATTACTACTTTTGATACTACTTAAACCCAATACTCCATTCTAACATATGATAACAGTTGCCAATATATATATACTCAAATAAAATCAATATATGCAAGACATATGATTACAAACAAATGAAAAGGAGAAACATTGAATGTTCTCCTCTTATACAAAGCTTAAATCATACGATAAATTTAATTTTCATCAAGAAAAAAAAACAATCAAGCAAACAAACAAACATAGAAAATTCTTTCGATTTTGTAAAACTTAAAACATCTTAGAATCTAATTGTTCTTTCAAATGATAAGTAAGAATTTAAATGAGTTATTACCATTATTATCAAATAAACAAGTATAACATAACATTCTGTGGTCCTGAATGCTGTTAGAGGTATGAGGGAGGTTACCGATTCCCGGTAGCCCACATCATGGAAGGGTTCTTCTGAAAGTATCAGAAAACGAAATTAGATTAGACGTGGTGGTCTTAGTGACCTGAGAGCGTGACCGTAGTGCCCAAGGGACAAATGATTGAGGTCGGCCATACACGACCTTTTTATGCGTAATTTTCGTGTTAACCCCGTATTCGTTGAGACCTTACCATCGGAGACGGATATACGAGGGATAATGTGAGGTGTGCATTTTTGGGGTTCGATCTTTTCTTACCTCACCCCTCCTTGTGGGAAGGCATAATCGCTATTATGCTGGTTGTCTGAGGGAAATACCTTACTGCCGTCACATATCTGTACAGTCAGTAGTACGAGTTCACCTTCGGACATTGGGTTTACTGCTTTTAGTCTTAAAGTTCTTCATCCGACCTGTGTGGTATGGTAAAACCTTGAGGAACGATTATTCCAGCCAGTAGAGCTCGATTGGTTCGTTACGATAGGCAAGCCCGACCACCACATCAAGGTAACAACAACAGTCGGGACATAACATTCAGTGAATAGGTGAATTATAAAAAATGTAGAGAAAGAACTACAATTCAGATGGGTTTACTGCGCAGCAATTCGTTCCGTCCTACTTTATGGCAGTGAAACATGGCCGGTAAGAGTAGAGGATATTCGTAGGTTACTAGTATTCGATCATAGGTGTCTTGGAAGTATTGCTCGCAAATCCTGGGACAACCGAGTAAGTAATGCAGTTGTTAGGAGACGGATACTAGGTAAGGATGGCAAACCAATTGATGGAATAATGAAACATCATCAGTTGAGATGGCTGGGACATGTGTCACGTATGCTCAATCACCGACTGCCCCGACGTGCGGTGTTTTAGGGTGTAGGAGTAGGTTGGAAGAAAACTAGGGACGGCCAGACCAAAACATGCCACGAATCCATGAAGTGATTGACAAGTGAAATGAACCATGTTGGTGGGTGTAGTCTACCTAGTTGGGATCCGCAAGACGATAACAACTGACGGTTAGAGACCTTGAATGACACATGGCTCAAAATCGTTTGCAATGCCACAGGTGCATCCGCTCTTTGTGTTCTCCCATATTTTAATCATCTGAATCCATGTCCCTTATTTTTTCTCTTTCCAAATTTACTTCACTGTATTATACTCCTTGGATAACAACTTCAAACCCTAATGTTTTCGACTACTGCTTATACTTTTACTACCTCTATCACTATGGGGTTTGAATCAACGATTGTATGTGTGTGCTAATGTGGTACGACAAGTTGAACTGATGTACGTACGTACGAAGTTCTACGTTGTTACTGACCGATTGACTAATCTAAAACTTAAATCACCAATAAAACTATTAATGATATCTAAAAAGATTAGTATAGGCTAACAAATAACGTTTATCGATAGATTTATCTTTGAAAGTAGAAGTATAAACATAGTGAATTAAGAGAATAAATAAGGTAATATACCATGTATGATTACATTACAAAACACTGGAAAACTTTTGGAATGAGAAATCCTAAAGAAAATTGAATTGAACTATGTTCAATGGACTGTTTGTAACTAACCATCCTTGAGAAAATCTTAGTTATCAGAAATTCTATGTTACAGTGAACTGGTGTCAATCACATAAATATAGTAAAAATATTATAAACATTGCCTATCTTATGCTGGTATAGATGATACATCAAACAATGGCGGTACTTAAATTACACAGTTAAATAAATCCAAAAACAAATGAATAACTGCTATATTTGAAGAGATTACGAGTTCACCTAATCTACGAACGAAAAGAAGACTAAGTGACACAATGACCAAATAAGCTAACTATTCCAATGCATCCCAGCTCTGCTAACTAGAAAAAGAAGTCCAAGTAAGAAGAGGGAAATGTATTCACAAGCAGCCAGAAGTATGAACAACAACCACAAGCACAATTCAAGCGTATATATACAGCATAAGTGTCCTTGGGAAACGTTACAAAATAACATATTAAAAGGAACAATCGACCAGTGACATTTAAGGTCTTCCCAAGTGGAAAATACGACATGAAGATAAAAATGGGCTCTTTTGGTGGCACGAAAATAAGAAATTCAAATCCTCAACAAGAACTGAGAATCAAATTGATATATGGTGAAAATTACAGACAGTTGTAACTTTAAAATTGATATTAAAGAAATCAATAATTCAACCAGAATGTCATAAACAAACAAATTACGGGATCCTTTAAGTCCGAAAAGTGAATAGAATAGAACAGAACAGAACAGACCAAATATATCAGATTCTGATTAGTACCTTATGAAATGAAAACAAAAAAAACAAAACACAGTTTTCACTTACCATAAAGATTTATTTCGAAGTACTGGTGGTTTGTAACTACGCATGCCAAGTATTCGTAAAGCTCTATGAATAAAAGAAATTTCCATACAGAAAAAAGTATTAAACTATATGATAATAGAAATTAAAGAGGAACTCTATGATAACTTTTCAGGTAAGTGAAAATCATTACGAAATTTACAAAGTGACATGATCAATTTGTAATATAACTTAGAAGTTCTTATGTATAACGCATAAAAAATTAAGACTTTACATTTAAATCTATCCAAATTACTTTCCAAATCTTAGCTTGTTCACTTAAAAACCATTGTGTGAAACTTGGCCGTGATACGATTTACCAGTAAATATTAAAGTAGGTGGAGCAATCTATGAACCTTTAAGCTATTCAGCTAAAGGCTGGATCCTTTCAACTATCAAGCTTTATTTGAACACATATTGGTACAAAGAGATACTGAATACAGATGCGCCACACAAGTCACTTGACTTATATATGTGCTATAATACTGCCCGGGTGCCTAAACTAAAGCAGGTGGGTTTTTTATAGGGTTACACCCGGAGCCTTTGACATAAAGGTCCGATCCACAAGGAAGTGGAGCAACGTCGGGAGATGTAATCCCATGGTAACCGATGACTAACAATAGGTTCATAAGCCTTTCGTTCCATCAGGATCCTTTAGCCCATATGCAGCATTCGTTTGGAATCAGGGTTTTCTAATTCCCTTAAGTGGATCATTCGCTTATCGTCCTCGCAATTTCGTAAGCAACATCCTCGCCGCGAGATGGAAGTGAGTAGGACTTCCCTGGTAGTGGTTGTATACGCGTGGTCATATGAGAGCATTTGGAAAGGGAGAACTAACTCTCCCTACCCTCGGTCATTTGTAAACAATCCAATGGAAAATTTCAACTTGGTTATCTATACAGAACTTAAAGCTATGCTCAGATAGGTTGACTTGAGGTTATAGACCAGTTTCAACAAACCACAATAAGATTGAAATATCATAAATTAATTTAATTAAACTTTTGTTTTGTTGACTTAAAATTTGGTTACAGTAGTTATGTAGCTGAGGTTGTATTTACAGAACTAGACAAAATATTTTTATAAATTTCACAAAGAACGGTGTGAAAATAAAGGATGAAAGAAAATACACAAGACAAACAGGTATCGAATATATAAAATGTTTGGTGTTAGACCAACATTGAAAACCTGGAAGCACTGGACGGTTGTTTCGTCCTACTCTGGGACTCCTCAGTGGTGCTCATCCACGATCCCGCTCGCGGGGTTCGAACCCAGGGCCTTCGGACTCGCGCGCAAACTCTTAATATCTAGACCGCTGGGTCGGCACTCAACGGTGTTAATGTCTAACCTCAACCAATCCACAAAATTGCGCGACCATCTTCCATTGTACTGAGGTAGATACCTGTCTCTACCCGACAAGGATAGAATCCCGAATCCCGCGAGCAGGATCGTGGATGCGAACTGATGAGTAGCACCACAATAGGACGGAACGGCCTTCCAGTGCATCCAGAATTTTAATGCTGGTCTAACATCAATCAATTCATGATCTCAATCAAAAACTGAATAATATCCACAACCCTATACTGATGGGTATGGAATACTTTCGAAAAATTTGGTCATGTCTAGTCTTTACTGTAATGACTTCTTTTTAAAAAAAGTTGATTTTCAACAGCTTAGTCTCTATTTTATTTATTGAAAATGGATCAATTCAGAATGGAATTACTAGTCTTTATACTTAAAGTCAAGTATACGAAAAAATAAATTAGACAGTTAGTTGATACGAGTTTCAAATAGGACGAAATGCACGTCCTGGATTCTACTGCTAACTACCATTCATGTTTGCTTATAAAGTTAGTTAATGCATTTAAAAATTCCCTTGAATGAATACAACCGCTTGTGTTGGTATTATTTTCAATTGTTGAACTGCTTCACAACAGGTAATATGCATAAGCCTAGATCCATACACCGGAAACAGATAGAGCGAGAGAGAGAGAGAACTCCTTCATTTTCTTTTCACAGAAACACACAAAAAAAGTCAATACAAATTGTGAATTATTTACATATTATATTATGCACAAATACATATACAATAGCACACATATCCAGACGAATGTACGTTTTCTCTGTATATATATATATATACATATGTGAACTAGGTTATAGATTGGAAATAAGAAAAAATTTTCTTTCTTTTTCTCAAAGATCATTTTCTTTCATGTTGTTTAGTCTACTCGGTTGCAATAGATAATGACTTGAAAGGGATTATTAAGTTTTTGCCAACAAAAAAAGAGAAAGAAAACATCACCACCACCATCACCATCAGTAACAACCAAGTGACGATGATGATTGATTATCGAAAATCGTTGCTAATAAATTTGATAAAAAATATCAGTATAATTAATACCGGCTTAGTGGTCTAGTGGTTAAGCGCTCGCACGCGAGGCTGATAGATTCTGGGTTCAAATCTCGCGGGGGGGGGGGGGACCGTGGGTGCGCACTGCTGAAGAGCCACATATTAGGACGAAGCGACCGTCCAGTGCTTCCAAGTTTTCCATGTTAGTCTAGCTTCAATTGACCCATGATTTCAACTATTGAAATTACTAAAATCTTCAAAAAACCCCTTCTGATAATACAAATAGTCGTTGTTCAATTTTCAACTGTTTAATTCATTTTTAGTAAAATATTTTTTCAATGATAAAAACAAAAAATAAATCAGCAGTAGCCAGTTTTTTTCTAAGAGATAGGAGGAAATAAACTCTAGTAACCTTTTGTACATGGTTATTGAGATGAACTAATGACGGATTTACGTAATTCAATACACTTAGGTATACAGTTGGATTCATATCTAAAGACTATTCAATCTGGTTATTGTTGTGACTTGAACTTGGATCGATTTTTATCCCGTGCCAATTGTTGTGTCCTTGACTGAAAAATTAGAGAGCAGTGTATTGTCGATCGGACCAAAGACGCGTATGACACGTAAGAACGACCTTGAGTTCTGATTGGCCCCGCCTCCCTGTCTAGCCCAGTCAGTTGAGTCCAGAACGCAAGTCCCAGCCTCTAAGAAATGAATCATTGTATTTCAAGCATACTCTGTTTATATACCAATCAACCCGACCACAACGTAACAATAAAATAGAAAATAACATTTGTACAGTAATTAGCCAGAAGTGGCTGTGAATGAGGGAGGTAGCGATTAACAGATAGGGAATAATTCATGAATGGTAAATCGTACAATAGTAGTTCATAGGCCAACATAAAGCTCATAATAAGAGGGGTATGAATATGAACAGTTTAGTTGCATACCAATTATACGATAAAAATATACTCATAATATTGGTCCATAAATCGATCCCAAAAATTACCATTCATTATTCTTATCGGTACACAACAGTTATTGAGATACAAACTAGATTCAGCGTTTGAGGTTTACCTATTCCACACTGTGAACCAAGTTAGTATTATCTCTTATCTTCACAATGTTGTCATCATTTTAATCAAATGTTTATGCTTCCTTCAATAAGAAAGAGAGTCGAAACAAGTACTTGTCAGTCTTGAGTGCAGTTAGAGGTATGAGGGCGGTCCTTAATTCCCGGTTGCCCACATCACGGAAGGGTTCTTCTGGAGGTACCTCAAAACGAAATTGGACTAGAGGTGGTCTTAGTGACCTGAAAGCATGACCGTAGTGCCCAAGGAACAACTGACTGAGGTCGGTCACACGCGAGCTTTTTGTCCGTAATTGTTGAGACCTTATCGTCGGAGACGGATATACGTGGGATAAGGTGAGGTGTGCATTTTCAGGGTCGACAGCAGCATCGCTGTTATGCTGATTGTCTGAAGGAAACACCGTACCGCCATCACACCTCTGTACAGTCAGCAGTACGACCTCACCTTCGGACCTTGGGTTTACTGATTTTAGTCTCATCGTTCTTCAACTGACCTGTCTGGCATGATAGGACCTTGAGGAACGATTGTTCCAGCCAGAATAGCTCGATTGGTTCATCAGAATAGGCAAGCCCGACCACCACATCAAGGTAACAACAACGGTCGGGAAACAAGTGCTTGATGCTTACATCATTGAATACAGATGTTTCGATTAAAAGATCTGAAAAATATAAATGGTTCTAATAACCTTCAGGGTTTCCGATAGATGAACAAAGTGCTTCTCCAAGCTTTATAATTCATTCTGGTGTATTCTGTCGAACTGCCAACTACACTGTACGGAAATATTCGATGTGAAAAACTCCACAAAACTTACAGAAAAGTAAATCAGTCGTAAGCAGCGCAGAGTCTGGCACAAATGTCTATTCAGTATAAGTTCCCCCATCATATAACCACATGGAAATAAAATTATTAAGACGAATTTCAGAATAGTAGGAGTAGCAACAGTATCAGTCACAATAGAATGAATTTGTAAAAAAGGAAGCATAGGATAACTTCAAAACTCAAGTTTTAACAGAAGACAAAGTGTGAATGATTCTGTGTCACAGTGTGACCTATTCTAAGCCATGTCAACTAACATCAACAATTGATGATTATCAGGACTTAATTTAACAGACAATGACTTCATGGATAAATACCATGTTTTGTTACAGTCTCTTCTAGCTTTAGTTCAAGTTATACCTACTCCAACCAACATTGCACATCGAAGTAAGCGGTTTTTGTGGATATGTGTGATATACGCAAAAACCCGTTGTGTCGCCAGCTAGTCAGCAACAACGTAGAACTTCGTACGTACGTACATCAGTTCAACTTGCCGTATCACATTAGCACACACATACAATCGTTGATTCAAACCCCATAGTGATAGAGGTAGTAAAAGCATAATCAGTAATCGAAAACATTAGGGTTTGAAGTTGTTATTCAATGGGTATAATCCAGTGAAATAAATTTGGAAAGAGAAAAAAGAAAGGGACATGAAGAATTCAGAAGATCAGAATTTGGAAGAACACAAAGAGTGGATGCACCTGCGCCATTGCAAACGATTTTGAGCCATGTGTCATTCAAGGTCTCTAACCATCGGTTGCTATCGTCTCGCGGATTCCAACCAG